CAACGGTGCGAGCTTGCGCTGCACCTTGGCCAATACGAAGTTTTGAAGGGCACCGACACGCGCATTCCTATACGGCGCACGCATGAGCGGCGACACACACGACACGACACGACACGACACGACACGCATACACACACACACAGCTGATGGTAAGGTACCTCGAACACACGACGGACCATCAGATTGGCGTAGCCGAGGAAGTCATCGTCGATCTTCTCCTCCTTCCCGCCGAACGCGTCCAGCCCCACCAACTCCTCCCTGGCCTGTCGTGTCGTGTGGGTCATACGTTTCGAGGGCCTCTTTCAAGCGATGAACAGCGCAACGAGAACGAATGAAGTGTCCGCACCAGCTGGAGCGTGATCTCGTCGCGGATGGCGGTCGTCCACCGGGTGAGGAGCCGGTGGTTCTTTGCTCGCAGGCGGCAGCGGTCGAGGGCCGGAATGTCCTCGTAGGCCGCTTGCGCCGCAAGCTCCGGGCTCAGCCCCGCCTGATTTCAATTATAAATGATTAATACTCACAGAAAATATTAAAGATAAATTATAATATGATTTTCATAATTAGGATAAATATAAATTAAAAGTGTAATAAAGTGGGAAAAAGGTACCTTGCCGCGAACGGTGGGTAGCCCGAGCGCGGGCTGGGCACCGACGAACAGGGGCTCGGCGGAGGGGTTCACGATTTGGAACTCGAGGTAGGACTTGTCTCCGCCGCCGATGGCCTGGCGCAGCTTGGCCAGGCTGGTCTGCACCAACTGGCAGTTGCGCAGGGCGATCAAACCCAGCGGCTCCTCCTGCAAAATTCCAGTCCATTCATTACATGGTCGCACCAGTCAGCTTCAGCGCTTCCCAACCGCACGCACCGCACACTACTTGGGGGGGGGGCTGTACGAAATCAGGGTGGAAGTAGGCGAGGTGGCCGTTGGTGTACAGTCTGAAGGCGTACTTCGCCCAGCCCGTCCTGCAAAAGGGGGAATTGAAGAGAGTTGAGTCACGCACGACACACGACACACACACACACACACACGGCACGCGCTGTTGCAGTTCTGAAAAGGGGGCGTACTTGGTTTGGATTTTGAGGGTTCCCTCTTCCACATATCGTCCGCCGGAGGCCACGAACGCGTTGGCCTCCTTGGCGGGCGCGGAGGAGACGTCCGCCTGAGCCTCCTTGGCTTTGCCCTGCTGGAGGGCAACTGACATCAGCTCCCGCACCCATACACGCACACGCACGACACGACACGCACGCACGCAGGACCTCTCTGGATAGTCGTGTACCTCATCGGACATGTGGCGCTGGTGCAGCAGCGGGCCGCTATGCCCACGACCTCGCGCTGGGCCAGGCATAGGGGCGGAGGCCAGCGCTGCGAAGGAGACCCGCTCCTTGGCAGGGGCGGAGGTGGGGGTGGGGGCAGGGGCAGGAGTGGTCGACGCCGTGGTCGAGGTGGTCACGCTGCTGCTGGCCTCGTCCTTCTTATGGGGCGAGTGGTGGTCGCCCACGTGCTCGGCGTGCCGCGCGGTCTCCTTGGCCTTGGAGCTGTTGTCATCGCTTTCGTTGTTGTTGTTGTCATCGTCGTCGCTGTTGCTGCTGTCATCTGACGCGCAGGCGACGGCGGTCATCACATCCGAGGACTCGGCGGTGGACGTGCCCTCCTCGTTGATGGCCCCGAGTCCCTCCAGCGGGTCCGCATCCTGCATGGTTTTTTCAAATAACACGACGCCCGCTGGCCGGTTAGCTCACACGCGCGCGCGCGCGCGCGCGCCGACAGCTGGGCGGAAACGGCCGGGGGGCGCATACCGACTCCTTGGAGGCGAAGCGCAGGGCTAGAACCCAGCCTGGAGCGCAGAAAGGAATGTAAGATATGTGCATTCAAAAACAAAAAATAAGTGATGGGCGGGTGAGCGTACGTTGGGTGTCCTCGCTGCTGGTGACTCGGAGCGTGCAGTCGTGGGCCTTGCCGCGGTGGTGCGCCAGGGCCGACGTCAGCTTCTTGCCCGTCAGCGAGTGCGTGCTGAAGATGGGCTTCTTCTCCGTGTGCTCGATCTCGATGCGCTCCTGAGGGGGGTGGGGGTAGCAATTGAATTAATTGTTGACTTAATTGAAGCGCCACAAGCTTCGCTGTCTTACCTCGTGTTTCCGGTTCTTCTGCGACAGAACCGTGCGACACTTGGACAGCACCACCAACCCGTAGCAATCGCCGAGAGGCTCGTCCTTCTGTATAATTCGTTGTAGTTAAAAGGGATTAGTTGCGCGTGGCGTGTGTGCGGTCGTGTGCGATGGCGTGTGTGCTGTGTGATGTGTGTGTGCGTGCGGGCTTTACGCGTACCTTGTGTGGCTTGTGGTATGCCAGTATGCCGTTCTCGTACAGGACGAACCACCGCTTGTGCCAGATGCCCAGCGATTTGATCTCGAGCATTCCCTCTTTGATCGGCTCCTGCGGGGAGAAAATAGCATTTTTAGGTATTTATTTATTTCTTCATTTGTTCATTTTCCCACACGCGGTGAGCCACGCCCAGCCGAGTCTAAGGGAGGGGGGGGGGCAAGAGTACCTCATTCATTTTGAGGTAGGGCGACAGATCGATGTTGTTGCCGTTCACTGCACGAAATTTGATGAGCCCACGCACACGACCGCACGACACGCGCGCAACAGATGAGAAACGGACGTACGTGTGGAGGTATTGGGCGGAGGCATGGAGCCGAGCGAGGCGGTCTTGGAGCGCTGCCGCTCCTCCCTGACCTTCTGCTCCTTCTCTTCTCTGAGCTTCTCCTTCTCCTCGCGGAGCTTCTCCTTCTCCTCCTTGCGGTCGAGCTTTCGCAGCAGCTTGGACTTCTTCGCGCTGGCGTCGCCCGAGGCTTCGCTTTCCACCCACGGGTCAGTCAACAGCATGCGAACCGTGATCGTGCCTGTCGAGCGGCGCAAGTTTTCAACCATGTGTCGGACGTGAGCAATGTACGACATTCGGGGGAAAACGACAACCACGACGCTGAGCGGTGTGAAGGAAATGAACAAATAAATACCCGTGGCGGGAACGTCGACCATGTTCGACCGTCTGGCGATACCACTAAGCTTCGCAGTCTGCACCACAGCGTTTCCTCGCACCAGGCACTTGAGCGAGATGATCGCGGAGCCCTAATGAAGATTGTGCATACGCGATGTCAGACCACACACACACACACAACACACACACACACACACCGACA